ATACATGAGCCTGATTATAGCATTCTTTAATGTGTCATACAGGTTCTCCTCTTGCATATATTCCAGTAAATCAGCCACCTCTGCTGCAACGTTGTAGGAAAGCTTCTCCACCACCTATGTGTAATTAGTATATTTTGACATGATCCGCTTGGCACTGAAAATTGCCAGTATTTGGTAGAACCATTTATAGTGTTGGATGCAGGTAGATTTAAGGTCAACATGGCCTCATTGGAATCTGTGTTTAATCCTGTGGCTGTTGTTGTTTTGGTGTTGCTGTGGTTTCAGAAATGTTCTAACAATTGAATTGTTGTCATTTTTTGTGAAGACTGTGTCTGGCGATGTTAAAGGCTATGTCTGTAAGGGCATTAGGAGATTGGTTTTCATGTTGAGGTCACCATTTGTAGGAGCATCGGGAGGTTGGTTTTCTTCATCAAGGTCACCATTTTTAGGAAATTTTGTTCTTTTTTTTTTTTTTATATATATTAAAAACCTAACATCCAAATTCTCAAACAATAAAAATAAAGAAAACATGGGTATGCCTGCTAAATAAATCAGTTGTATTTACAAACGTGTACATGAAATCAAGAGTCAAAAAGGAGTACACAGAAAAACAGCTGTAGTTTAGAAAAGACTTTTAAATACTTGGTCCAAAGTAAAAAAAAAAAAAAAACTTGTTGATAAAAGGCTTTTATTGTTAATGAAAATTCATTGACTGTTTTTGTTGTTGGAGAAAATTTGTTTGAAGTCACTGACTAGCCATCAGTGAAGGTTCATTGACTGTCCCAGCTGTTGTCTGATTTGTTTGATGTTGCTGACACGTGTTTCTTTTAGTCGCTGACCCATGTGTTTGGTTTGAAAATAGCAGTTTCTATGATCTCTGAAAGTCAAAATCTGCCACTAAATCTTACCACTATTGTATGTTTGATTATTTCTCGGTTGTTTGACATTTCTTTTACTTTGACTCCTTCAAAACCGTTTGTAGAAGATATTTTTATACATGTTGTGAGCTACATGAGTAAACTCAAATTTTACCAGTTTTTTTTTTTAATTTTTTTTACTGTACACCAACCACATTTTTCTGGTAGAGATTCAAGTAAAATGCATGTTTAGGTTCAGTACATGTGGCAAAGTAAGAACTAATGGAAATTTAATTTAAAAAAAAAAAGTGATGTATTCATTAAGTATTCTTAAAGAGCTATATTGATTTTTATTTTCTTGACTAGATTACTTCTGAGTGACATTCAGTAGCTCAGTCAAGTAAGCCTATAGCCTAAAGATTAGTTGATTTAATCTAGAATTTATGAGTAATTGAATGTACATCAACACTTACTTAGGTACATCAGTAAGTCTACCACCTAATGATAAAAAAATAGCTTTTTATGCTACAAATATTCATGTAATATTTATTTTGCAACACAATCTCCTTCATTTTCAATGCACTTAATTATGCAGTGATGAATATTAATTACTGAAGTAGTAAAAATAGTAACTCAAAATTCAGCTAACATGACAGTCTATAGACTTGTTGATTCATTTTAACAAAATGAATTAACATGAATAATAAAAGTGGTTAACATCAGCATCTTTGTGAAACTGGTAAATTTGTATAATCAACTACATTCGGCATCACATTTCAAGGCTTTTTATATCTCTTACTATTCTAATATTTTAATTAATGATTACTGTCAATAAAATTTGAAATTATGAAAAGTTAGCAATATTTTAACTAATGAAGTCAAGCAGATGAATACTTTTTACAGATTAAAAGTTGATTATATTTCATTTAAGGACTAACATTATTAAAAAAGCATCTTGTTTTTCTCTTGAGAAATGTTTAATATTTTCAAAATATACATTAAAGATCTTTTTTTATAGCCAATACTTTTTTCTTTAGATACAGAATGAGAAATTGATCTAGATTTTTAAAAATGGTTTTCTTAAAAACTTGCATTAATTAATGGGGGTGTTCAGCTCTGATGGGGCCGATTTGGTGAGTGGAGTATGATATTTGAAAGACCCAAAACTGTCCAGTGACCCAATTCAGAACATCACTGACAACGCCCCCTAGCACTAAAGAGCGTATATTCAAAGTGAACAATATAATCAATTAAATGTCAGTTTTGAGTAATCCAGATTATTTAAGAATTTAAATTTCTTTATTTCAAAATGTATTTTCAGCATTTTGTCATCAGTTTTTAATACACTGATGTATAAAAAGTAGGTAAGGTGCCTCATTCTATAGTACCCGTTCTAGTACAGCAAATCCATATAGTACAAGTTCTGCAACTAGATGGGGCACAAGTTTTAAGTGATCAGAAAACCTCTGGAGAGATGTTAAGTCATGTTATCTCAGTATAGTTCTGCAATATTTGCTGTAGGATATTACATGCAAACTGACCTCTCCACCACATCTCATAAAGGCATAATTAGGTTTATGACAGACAAACATGGTGGTTGCACCATTTTTCAGAAGTCATCTAGATGATCCTCAAACCAATTCTAACCAATTTGTGCCCAATGACATGATGCATTACTCTGTTGTTGTTAGGGTACAGGGAGTCTATGAATGGTTGCAAATGATCATGAAACATTTCAGTGTTGTGGTCACTAGTCAATGATATGATTAGACAAAGCACCAGATACATTCCATGCCATTATGGAACCACCACCTGCCTACGTGGTACTTTGTTGATTACTGAAATCCATGGCCTCATCGAGTTTGCACCACAGCCAAACAATATTATTAGTCCAGAACAACTGGAATCATGTCTCATGAGACAACCACATATGTTGCCAGTCCTCCAGAGTTCAGTTAAGGCATGATAGAGTAATGGATAGCGGCTCAGATTGAGGAATCGGGGAGCCGAGTTCAAACTCCAGTTGAATACTTTGCATTAACTTATCCTTGGAAAAGGTATGAATCCTCTTCTCCCCCAGCTATGAGTAAATAGCAGAACTGACTGGGTTCTATAGCTTTGGATGGCAACTGGTCTACTGCAGAAAGAATTGGCAACCTACTGCGGGGAAAAATTTGCCTTGTCAGTCATGTATCGAAAAATAGATGATCGCCTAAGCATGTATCACGCATGACACATAACTGACTGAAATTAACAGGTATGCCCTGGTTGGCCTTTTTGCTTTTATATCTCATTGTAGCTAAAGGACACTGACCTTCGAGATATGACTGATACCTTCTGCATTGAATATGGATAAAATTTCAGCCATTGTCACTTGCCTATTATTTCAGGCAGTTATAGCCCAATACTTTTGTTCATGATCATTAAGAACTTGTTGTCAGCCACTACATTGTCTATGTGGAGTGGTAATACATTCCCTCATGTATTCATGATACACATGTAACATTGTAGTTCAAGAAATATCAAATGTACTAACATTTTCAGAAATGGAATGTCACATCCAGTACCCACCATCATGATCCTTTTGAACTCTGATAATTCACATTGCTTTGAACAATTGATATATGTCTAGGCATTTCCATGATGTTGAGATATGATGGTGCCATCTACTGTTACCTTTGCATTCTGCTATCCCATTTACTTACACATTTGTGTAAGTAAATATTTATTTAGAATAAATTTGTCTAGCTTGTAAAAGAATAAAATAGTCAAACATTTGTTCTATTGTATACCTATGACAATACCACTTTCCTTTTGTAGTATAAAATGTTAAAAAAAAAGCTTTCTTAGGAATCTCTGTTTCTTTTAACTGTTTTTAGAAAGAGTTAATTACTTCTGAGATACTATGAGTAATAATTTTGAAATTAGACAATCTCAAAATTTTGAATTGTTTACCTTAATAAAATTCATAATGTTGTTAACAAAACAAGTAATAACTCCATTATTGTAAACTATTTCTCTTTAATTGATCACCTACTCTTCAGATTGATCCTCACTGAGAGCTCCATAAATGTTTCCCAAAATCTTATACACTCTTATATATGTAACCTGCTTCCCAAAAATTTGACCAAATAATTAAATATAAATATTTTTTTTTAATCCTATCTTGGTTGGGCCACAAACTTTTTGATACTCCCTTCTTTTTATTATTAAAATTATAAGATTGAAAAGTATATATTATTGGAAGTTGAAGTGAATATTCCATCAATCTTTCTTTTGTAACATTTTCATCGGGTAATGTCAAATGAAATGAGAATACATACATTAAAATTTTAATGAATAAACATTAATAAATATAAGGATACCAATGTTTATCTGTTTTTTGTCAATATTATTCTTCAATCATTTGACTATCAATTAGTCACACAGATTATTAAAGATATGACTCGTGCAGAGTATTAAATTATTTACAGAAATCGATAAATATTGGTATCATGGATTATTAAAATATTAATGCAATGCATGTTCTTGTTTTTATATTTTTAAATAATTGTTTTTAATAATTTTGAATGCTGGATTGATTTGAGGGACTGAAATAAATTTTTTTAACATTTAATTTTTATGAAGTGAAGGAAGAGTTAACTATACTGTCAGCTTCTAAAGTAGGTTAAATAGAATATATTCTAACACATATTTCATTCAGATAAATTCTTTTAAAAAATTAATTTACTTTTAATTTTAACACAATTCATAATTCAAACTAATATAAACAAATTTGAGATATGCTTGTGATCTTTGGAATTATTTTTTTGTTTAACGTTTATATAGCAATTTCAATTATTAGGAAATTTAAATCATTATTTCATTTTGGACTTCTTAGTTTTGTTTTAATATAGACACCTATTTTTTAATATTACAGTAGTAATGAGATTAATGTAACATTCTTATTATGTTCCTTTTTAAAAAAAATCATTGTAGCCATTTTTTTCACTGTTCTACTTTGCTAATTTTATTGATTTTCATGGATGTTTATTACAGATTAGTAACATTTTGAAAAAAAATGAACATGAAAGAACACCTGAAGAAATTTCTACCCTTGAGAAACATCCAGACCTTGTAGAAAAGGCTGAAAAAAGAGCAACTATGCGTTGTAAATTAAAAAGAAGAGTAATGGAGGTAATCTACCTATTTTTTTTTATATATTCTTGTATTGAATACTGCCAAGTTCCATTTTCAAAATATTTAGAAGATATATTTTTATGCATTTTTTGTGAGACATTGTTTCTTTCTTTTTTGTATTGATGGTATTAAAATAATATTATTTGAGATGTTTTAAGTTATATTTAATTTAATGAAGTTTCCTTATTTTAACATTTTGTAGATTGAAGATCCTTCAGATGTATTGAAAGAGAAATGTGACCAATTAGCTGAAGCTATAAAAAAAGCTAAAGGTGTATGTGTCTACACTGGAGCTGGAATTAGCACTGTGAGTTGGATTTTTGACACTTTTTTGTTTTCATTTTCAGAATCTGTATTAATCAATTGAAAATATATATATTTTTTTTTTTTTTTTTTTGCTAGAAAAAAAATAGAATTTGTTTTGGCTGTAGTATCACTCAAGAATTGATTTCTCCTGTTAACCTAAATATCCATCATGATAAAATTTGATATACTATATATACTCATGTATAAGTCGACTTCATGTATAGTGCAAAGATTTTTTTTTTTTTTTTTTTAGATGAATTTTAACCCCTCCAGAAAAAATTTACCCATGTGTAATGCAACTACTCACCAAAAAGTTATGATTTTTAACCTCTTTAAAAAAATTACCTGTGTATATTGCGACGCGCTCCATTTGTTATGCAAAACTCTGATCATAAAACTTTGCACTATACTCGACTATATACAGTAAACTAGACAAAGAAATTCAAGAGTAATCTTTTTTTTTTAAAACTGGTGTTGTGCTCAATGGCTGATCTGTCATAGATGTGAATTAGGATAAAAAGTTCAACAACCTTTTAAAAAACTATCTAATTTAAAATATTACACACTAGTTGTCTTTTGATTAGCAAATTCTGTTTTTTATGATAACATTTAAATATTTGTAATAAATATGGCGACAGAGATGAGGACAATAGTCATTATTCAATGTAAATAATGTACATAATATCTCATCTCAGAAATATAGACAGATATTTAAATATTTTTTCCAATTGATAAGCTCTAAGTCACTATTAGTGATCTATTGTTTCAATATTTTACCCTATATGATAAAAAAAAATTGATTTTATTGATTCAATTCTCACTTGTCAACTTTTTGAATTTCATGTGTCATAATTACTGTCTTCCCATAAATTTTTATTGACATGTTTGTAGTAGATTGAACTAAAGTTATTGTTGCTTTAAAACTATCACTTTTTTCCTCCATTATGCTGCTTCAGATTATATTTGATTATTTATTATTTTTAAATTAACTGCCATTGATATTAGATAAATAACTTTGATTCAGGTATAGATATGTTTTCAGTGTTTAAACAAATATTTTTTCTACAATACTAGGCAGCTTCTATTCCTGACTATCGTGGACCAAATGGTGTCTGGACTCTTCTTCGTAAAGGGCAACAGCTCAAGTAGGTATTATCTTCTTGTAAGCAATTTTTTGTTTCCTTCCCCTTTTCAGAACAGTAAATATCACACTATTTGCTATTTTTTCTGTTTTTTGATATATATATAAAAATAAATTACACTTTTTTAAAGCATTAGATTAGAATAAAATATTGAAAAACAACTTAATTTTGTTGAATTTGATATTTGTTTTATTAATGATTGTATTCTATTTAATAATTACATTTCCTTAAATATGTTCAGCTTTCTGCATATTAAACACAATTTATGCAATTTGAACTGCATTCAGAAGAGAATTGAAATGATATGCATAAGGACTTGAGAACCAGTCAAATCCCATTAGTACTCTACTATAGTTTGCTGAAAATTAATCTCTTACACAACTAATGCTTACATTGTAGAAAGTAAATTTAGTATATTACATTTCTTCAGGTTGATTACTTTGGTTCTTAATAAATCTTGAACTTTTTTCCAAATATCTTTTTATTTCTTTAATAATTGCAGACCCCAAGAACTCACTGATTCTGAGCCAACCAAAACTCACATGAGTGTTATAAGTCTATACAAACATGGAAAGGTAAAATGTCTAGCAATCATATTTATTTGGTTTTATTTCATAAACAATAAGATCAATTTATTTGCAGTGCTATTTTCATTGTATTTTGCTCTCTAATACTGGATGTATATGTGTGCATGCATCTTTGAAGAAGTATCGGTATTTTTTTAATCTCTGTACTTAACAAAGTTATTGAAAAAGTTTTTGAAAAAAGAATTTATTTTTTACAAATGAATAATACATACAAATGGCATATGCATCTTAAGCACCTTTGCAGTACACTGGGAAACTTCATCAGTGATGTTTATTCTTGCTGCTGTTGTTGGGGGTTTCATGGCTCAAAATGTAGACCTGTTTTTCCTGGCAACCAACCAGGAGTAGTCAGTTTTCTGGCCTCTTGATTGAATCTGCAAAACTTGGCCTGAGCTTATATTGGTGTGATTCTTTTTTTCAAATTCAAAAGTGAAAATTGGTCTTGCCTTACTACAGAAATTATTTGATATCATTTGAAAAGTTTTTTTTAAAAACTGGATAATTGCTTGGCCTTTTTTTGATTTGCTTTCAATTTTAATTTTCATAATAGGTTATTTATTTTTATATATATATATATATATATATATATATATATATATATATATATATATATATATATACAAACACACACAGCAATTATCTTAAAAAACAACTTAAAAAAGGCTGTTGACCATTTCAAATTCTTGATTCAAAAATTAATGATAAAAAAAAAATGAAAATTACAGATAAAATTCATTTCTTCAGAATGTCATTCATTCCTCGTTAATTCTCCGAAACAAGCAGGAATTCTTTTTCTCCAGATTTTGGACCATGCTTTTTTAAATAGCTAATTGAGGAGAAATGTAATTAATGTTATTCCAAAAATATTAATATACAACCCAGTGTGTATGAAAATTTTAATTTTTTAATTTTTTCAATATTTGTTATTGTTCAAAACTAATAAATATATATAATCTCAAAAAGGCATATACATATATTATTTTGAAAATTTAAATTTAAAATTGATATATACCAAACAACAATTTTTTTGAGGATATATAAAAATAAATAAAAGAAATATTTTTTTATATTTTTAAATTTTAATATTTAAATTCATAAATTTTAAAATGAAACAATTTTTAAATATAAATTTCATTTTCAAATAATTAACATTCTAAAATATTAGACAGATGTTTTAGTTTAGATGCCAATTCAGGCCTGATGATTCTTTAAAATTTAAAACAATGTAAATTCTTTTGATAAATAATAAATTGTTTGTGTTTTAGTGTGTAAATTTGTTTGTAAAATTGTGTATATAAATATACACTTTTTTATTTAAAATTGTATGACCATCTCAAATAAAAAATGCATATTTTAATATAACCATATAATATATATATATATATATATATATATATATATATATATATATATATATTTTTTTTTTTTTTTTTGAAAATCTTTGTTTTTCCTGATATTATAAAATTATTGAAACTGAGTTTGTTTTCAAAAAAATATATATATTATATATATATATGTATTAACGCAAACACACATTAGAACTAAAATTTGTCTATTTTAGGTTTTTAAATCAGCTGACTCCAAGTAGGTCCCTGTCCTTATCTCCACCAGGTCATATACTGCATTTTTGTTAAAAAAAAATATGGTATAAAATTAGTATGTATGATATATCTATAAACAGGAAAATTGCAAAAAGACTTCTTATATAATGTGTATAAACATGTATGCACATGTATATATTTGATGAGCATGTACATTTGTAAAAAATGTGTAAAAAATATAAAAAAATCTATTTATCTAATATTTGTATATTTGTCTTTAGTAAATCTATATATCTATTTTATGTATATTTGTTAATTATTTATTTAAAAATCAAAAAAACAAAATGATAAATATGGTTTAAAATGAATTTTTAAAAATGAAAAGTTTTTCTTGAAGCTTTTATTTTAGTTTTAATTTCAAGTTAATCTATCAAATTTAATATTTCCAATAAGCAAAATACTTTGCAGTATTTTAAAAACTAATTTAAATTGACTGCAAAAAGCTTTTTTTGTTTTTTTTTTTTTTTTAATCTGTCTTTATTTAAGGAATATTTTTGATTTTTTTTATATAATTGATCTTATTTTAAACAAATATTGTTTATTTTAAGTTTAAAATATAAAAATACTTATTTTAACCAGACAGCTGTTTATTTAAGGCGTTTGACAGCTTGATGACAGATTTTTTTTATGCCATGAGTGAATTGAATTAATTGAAGAAAGTTTTTTATATATAAAAAAAGTACTCAGTAATCTTAAAAATTTAAGAAAATGTTCTCTGTAATCTAATGTTTTATTGAATTTTAAATATTTTTGACTATAAATTTATATATAATCATATTTATTTTAATAATCATGTATAGTCAACCATATAATAGAAAATCGGCATGTTTATACATATAAAAAATTAAAAATTCTTTTAAACATGTTGTGAAAATGATTTGTACTAAATATTTTTAATTTATAATTATAATTAAAAATATAGTTTTTTATGTTAAAATAACAATATCACCTTTTTTGTAGAAATTAATAAATTTAAAAGAATTAAAACTTTATAAATTATTCTTATTAAAATTTTTAAAAAAAACATTTCTTATAAAAAATCATTATTCATAAAAAAAATTTTTTTCAAAATAATGTTTATAATATAAAATATCCTTAAAAACAAAATATTTTAATTAAATAATGTCTTTTATAAATGATTTGATTGCATTTTTTATTTTATGATTCAGAATAGATTTTTGGTAAATGAATTACTGTTTGAAAAAAAAATTCTGAGGAATCCTGCTTTTAACTAATATAAATATGAAATTGATAAAATTTAATTTCATAAATTTATTCGTTAAGTAATTCAAACAAATAATATAGATGTAAAAAAAAAATTTCTTTATTAATTTTTTTAAAAAAAATTTATAAAATTTCATATTCATTTGTAAATAAGAAATTAATTTGAAAGTTCATTAAGAGGTTAAAAAAAAAATTATTTGATTTTAGTAAGAAAAAAATCAATGTTTTTTACATAAAAAAAGTGCTAAATTTTCCTTTGCTATTTTTCTGTTTATATGCCCCCTATTGACGACTAAAAAAAAAAAATTTTTAACCAAAAATTCAAAGACATGGTTTATTAAAAAATTTAATAAAGTAATTTTGGTTTTAATATTTTTAATAAAAAACATTTTAATGATAAACTTTGTTTTATCAAGTTTTATTAAATAATCATTATTTTATGCTTTTTTTTAAGAAGAAATTTATTGAAGGTACCTGATATATACAGGGTGCGATGGATAAATTGTCATCTAAATTACACAAAAATGAAAATAACACTGACATCTCATTTTAACAGATATATTTACCAAAATTACACAAAAAATATCTTGAAATACTAAAGAGTAAAATTATTCAATAAAATCACCATTGGCTTCAACCACAGCCTCCAGATGACTTTTTGAATCTCCTGCAACTCTTCTGGACATGGTCTCCTTGTTTAAGTTGGTGAATGCTGCCATAATCCTTGCCTTCAGTTCATCTTTGGTGTTACAAGGAGTTTTTTGTTGGTCTCTCACTCAACTGTGCCCCACACATAATAATCAAGGGGGTTGCAGTCTGGGGAGTTAGGTGGCCAGATGTAAGGGGTGATGTGGTTGCAGAAATTGTCTGACAGCCATGACTGGGTTCTCCTGCTTGTGTGGCATGGTGCAGAGTCCTGTTGCCAGACATAGGGTCTTCCAGCAGCCACCCCTTTGACCCAGGGCAGCACTACCTCCTCAAGGCACTTGATGTATGCCCTCTGTGTTGAGTCTGAGGCCCTCACCAACAAATTCATGGAGTTCTTTTCTTATCAGAATGATCAGAGTGAGTTTTCCAAGCTGCCATACTTTTTGTAATCACCATTAGACTCATCCAACTCTTTCTGAATCCTCTGCACTGTCCTCAGATTGACACCCAAACACTCTGAAATGTTTTTATTGGAGCTTCTGTGCAAATGCCAAGCAGTACAGCATGCCATTTCCAAATTTCTGGCAGAGTGAATTGCATCATGGTGCTCTTTTTTTCTCACAGATGGTGCCCAAACTGACCCTACTATACTGTGCAGTCAACAAAATCAAAAAAAAAAACATGCACATGCACAAAATTAAAAAATATAAAATGGCGACAATTTACCCATCACACCCTGTGTAAATTTTTTATATATTTATATTTATATATATATATATATATAATACATATATATATATATATATATATATATATATATAATGGTAAATATAAAAATAAAAATTTATGGTAAATTTATTTTTATTTTAATGTTCAGATTTAAAAAAATAATTGCAATTATTAAAATTATATGTATTTGTTATCATTTTTATTTGATTGTTCAAGCATGTAAAAAAAAAAAATAATTTTATTCAGGTTTTTTGTATTATTTTTTATTATACTTTTTGAAGTTGGTTTTAAAAAAAAAATGAATTTACAAAAAAAATTAATAACTAAAAAATATATATGAATAAATTTTGATAATATTTTTGCCTGATTTATTTAAAAAATAATAAAAAAATTTTATTCAATTTTTTATTTGCATGTTTATTTTTCTTTTTTATTTTTTTTTTTCCATTCACTAGAAAACTTTAATTAATTTAATTTTTGTAAATTGAGATAAAAAAATGAAAAATTTTTAGAAAATTTATTTCAATTTTATGACCTTTATTTATGTTTAAAATTCTAAATTTTTTATTCTTTTTTTTTATGTATTTTTTTAAATATTTTTTTAATGAAATTTTTTACAAAAAATTTGAAAAAACAATATTCCAAAATATTAAAATAAAAATGTCTCAATTTTTAATATTTTATCAGTAATAGGTAATTTAAAAAAAAAACAGGTTTTTCAAATACTTGATTTTAATTTTTATGTTGAATTTTTTTCTTTTTTTTTTGCTTTTGGACATTTTCATT